CTCACTTCCTATAGCATTTACATTCCTGACGCAGATTCCCAAGCAAGGTCGCCATGTTTCCTGGCCGAGCACAACACGAGTTAGGCGTTATCAGGCCAGGATTAGGAGTTTACATCGTCAGTTTGAGTGGGATTTGTTGAGAAGTTCACCACTCTGTGAAGCCTGACACATCCAATAATAGTTTATTCAGCGTTCATACAAGGTGCTTATAGTGCTTGAATTTGACTTTTTGAAATGTAAGTCTTGGAAAACCCTCGAAAACAGCAATAAATCTGAAAAAGGGGACTTAAATTATTGGAAGACAATAGGCTAGATTAGAAAATAACGTTTAATTTTTATTGATAAGTCAATCTTTTCACACCTGTCTGATATAGACAGAGGCATTTCACACAGCTATGAGTGTGATATTGCTCATATAATTATTTAAGTTTATGATAAAGCGATTTCTTTGTCATAATGTCCTTTAATGGTCAAAGTTAGCGCAGTCACTGCAGGAGTGTGTGAAGATATCATGTTGATCATATAGAGGTCTATAGGGTTAATCTCCGCTGTGTCTGTTTCTGGTTAGCAGGTGGAGGATGTGTGTCTCTCACACACACACACACACACACACACACTCTCTCCTGCAGTGTGAAGCAGCTGTACGGTCCATCACTCTCAGATCTACGACACGACTCATTCTGTGCTCAAGCTTCTTCCCTTCTTCCATAAAGCCAAGAGTCATTGTTCATTTCGAGCTGCGCTGAAGTTCAGAAGTGGAGCTCAACTTGTTTGACTTATTATCCACAAAAATATTCAATATTTCACTTCACGAAGCCCAAGATAAGTGTGTAATGCTTGAAGCGTTTCAGGTTCTGGCGTTCCTCCAGTGGATCCGTGTGTTTCTCTCGGCTACAGCTCAGGGTTATCAGGGTTTCTTCGCACGGTTTGTCTTTCTCCGAGGTCGAGATTCTCGGAGCCACTCTGGATCTTGTGTTTAGTTTGCTGTTGTTTCTCGGTCTCTCGAGTCCGAGATGTTAGAGCTTCTCCTCACAGGATGAGCGGCTCCCCTGCCGTTTCATTTGAAGAAACTCGTTAAAGAAAAGCTCATACACACACAAACACACACACTTTAAGGGGCACAGCAGCCTTTCGAGTGCGACGCCAGCCCAGATCCCAGAACGCATCTCTGCGGGTTTATGAGGCGTCCGGTCCTGGGCAGTGTGTGTCGTTTGCAGCACAGGCGCTGCTTAAACTGGGATTTCATGCAAGAACAACTTAAATTACTGAAAGAATCACAAGCTCGTATAATTAATAATTAAACTAAGCTATATGTATGCTTGCGATTAAAAGTTGCAACATTTGTAAGAAGAACACATCAGTTTTTACAATCGTTTATCATTATCGCTTGTTTTATACTTTATTGATTCTTTTATTGATGGAAACTGTAATCATGAACATTGTGCTTTAAGTTTCTTTCTTACAATATACAAGAATATGAAAAGCTTTTTTATTGCATAAACAAATATGCTTTTTTTTTCTTGCAATATGCAAAGTTTTTTATCACAATATACAAGAATATGCACATTTTTTATTTCCAATGTGCAATAATGTGCAACCTTTTTTTCTTGCAGTGTGCAGTATATGTGTGTGTGTGTGTGTGTGTGTGTGGTGTCTATTCTGCTTGCTAGATATGCATGTTTATAAGATTTTTAACCTTTCCACGTCTCCTCAACAAGCCACATGAGAAGAGGGATTGTTCCTTGAAAGCTCTGCACAGAAGTGTAAAACATTAGGTTAGGTGTTTGTTCAGATGACCAATACTAATAGTCATCCTGTGCATTCAGTAAAATATAACAAAGGTTTGTTTGCCAGGATTATAAGTTAATCTTGACTCAGAGCGTCTCTTTAAAGTGCTCAGCTTGCATCAAAACTCTGAAACCCGATCCAGCCGGTGTCATCCATCCTCTGCTCTCTGCAGGTCAGCACTAACGGCTTCGTGTCTCTGGCCGAGCCCAGCGATGAGTCCAAGTACCTGGGGAAGATGCCGGCCGGCTTCGGCATGATCGCAGCGTTCCTGGGAGATCTGGACACGAGCGACGGCGCCGGACACGTCTACTTCCGGCAGGAGAAGAGCCCGGACGTTCTCCGGAGAGCCGCGGGTCACATCAGCCAAGCGTTTCCCAGTGACGATGGGATCGACCCCACTCACGCCGTCATCGTGACCTGGGAGAATGTGCTGGCTCAGGGTCAGCGAGGGCGAGGAGATGGACTTGAGTCAATGGTACGTCCCTGAAATCTGAATGTTTCGCAGTTCCAAGCGTTAGTTAAGAAGTCAAGCCGCCTTTGTTTATAAACCGCTTTCTGCACTGATTGTTTCAAAGAAAATAACAAAGTTAAAGGAGGAGTTCACTTCAGAATTAAGATTTCCTGATCATTTACTCTCCTTCACTTCATCCAAGATCTGCATGTTCTCTTTCTTCAGTGGAAAAGAAATGAAGGTTTTTGAGGAACACACTCCAGGGTTTCTCCATATAGTGTCTTCAATGGGGTCCAACAGGTCGAAGGTCCAGATGTGAGTTTCAGTGCAGCTTCAAAGTCTCGACACGATCCAGCCGAGGAATAAGAGTCTGATCTAGACAAACCAGCCGACATTTATAACAAAATACACATATACTTTTTTTATATACTTTTAACCACAGATGCTGGTCTTGCACTCGCTGTGATGCGACACACATTACGTGATCAGGGTGAAAGGTCAAGCGTGACGTAGGCGTAAGAACAAATCTAGTGTTTACAGAGCAGACGTGCAGCGACTGAGTCAAACGCCATTTACAAAAAATAAATAAATAAAAGGTAAAACAACGATGTCGGATGATTTTGAAGTTGGAGGAGAAAAAAGACTCGTCATGTAATGTGTGTCGCATCACAGCTCGTGCAAGACCAGCATCTGTGGTTAAAAGTATATAAATGTGTATTTTGTTATAAATGTCCGCTGGTTTGTCTAGATCAGACTCTTATTCCTCGGCTGGATCGTGTCGAGACTTTGAAGCTGCACTGAAACTCACATCTGGACCTTCGACCCGTTGGACCCCATTGAAGACACTATATGGAGAAACCCTGGAGTGTGTTCCTCAAAAACCTTCATTTCTTTTCCACTGAAGAAAGAGAACATGCACATCGTGGATGACGTGGGGAGAGTAAATTATCAGGAAACTTTTTTTTTAACTAAACTTTTAATGTTGCAAAGTGAAAGTAATGTCAGCTCTACAGAAGACAACCATTGTTCATCTCACAAACCAACATGTTTAGCACGACAAATAATGCTTTCAAACTTCTCCTGCAGAGAAACACGTTCCAGCTCGTTGTAGCAAACATGGATTCGGCGTCGTACGCTGTGCTGCTGTATCCCGAGGAGCAGACCCAGTTCAGCTCTTCGCTCGTAGAGGATGAAGACGTGCGGGTCGAGGCCGGGTTCAGCGAGGGCTTGGTGTCGGGCTGGTTCGGCTGGGCCGAGACTCAGGGCTCTTACTATCGCATCACTGAAGACAGCGAGGAGTCAGTCCGCGCTCTCGCACAGTAAGACATTTTACATCTCAGTCTCATTAATCTCGTCACATGCAACATGAGAACATGTGATTCAGAAGGTGCAGGAGTCCTATAATGCCCTTTTCACAAGATGTAAAATAAGTCTCTGTGTGTGTGTGAAGTTAAGGGTGAGCAAAAACACGTAGGTTTTGTGTGTGTCCCTTTAAATGCAAATGAGCTGCTGCTCCCGGCACAGGGGGCGGAGCTTCAAGTGTGTGTGTGTTAGCAGCTCCGATTACCTCACACACACACACACACACTGAACATTTCAAAAACGTTTAGCCTTTTATGTTGAAAGCGGAGTCAAAGATGAGAGACTCTAGAAGTGACGACATGTAGAAGCAACAGGACATTTCTGAACGGTTAGTTGATGAGTTTATGCAGCTGATGTGGAGTTAACGATCTTCTAGTCATTGATTAGCATATTCTGTCATGATCATCTATAAAGCGTGTTCCGGGGGCGGGGCTTATGTAAATGTTAGTGTTTGTGATGTCACTAACCGGTGAAGAAGCTCATTGTAGTTCCTGCCAGCCGTTTGTTGTAGTCCTTAAAAAGTGATTTCTGTAAAAGCGAATCTCTCCCTTTGCTCTGAGCTTTGAGTCGTAACTGTGCAGATGTTGTTTACGCTCAAACAGCAACATCACACACTCACTACAGCGAGACAAGTGACATCACGATCAACCACCGCTTTAAATAAACCTAAAACTATATATACAGTGTATATATATATATATATATAAACTTTGTAACTTGAAATAAAATAAACTTTAACTGAAATAAAATGCAAAAAAAAACTTATTTTATTTCAGGTAGTTGACAAGGCACTCAAACACACACACACACACACACACACACAGACACACACACTCAAACAGCAACATCACACACTCACTACAGCGAGACAAGTGACATCACAATCAACCACACCTTTATTGTTTGCAACTCCTCTCCAAACTCCTCAGGAAGACAAACTCGGGCCGGCCTGGCGTTTGGGTCTTCGAGATCGGCACGTCTCCGTTTTTCAGCTCCATCATGCCCGGCGAGGTCACAGAGGTCACAGAGGTCACGGAGGTCACAGAGGTCACAGAGCTTCCGTATGAAACGCTCACGCCCCGTCCGGATCCGATCTCCGAGTCCTCCACCCCTGACGAGCTCCAGTACCACTACGTTCCCCCGCAGAACCCGCAGAGCCGGCAGAACCCACAGGTTGTGATCATCGATGAAGACGAGCTCAGCGTCGAAGGTCAGAGGAAAGCTGTGGCTACACTGAGTAACTCTTGCGTTACATACGTATTAATATATCTGTTTTTATGTCAGTGTTTTCCTATAACTACGAGACGTGCTCCAGCAACAAGCACAAGTGCTCCGCTTCCGCCGAATGCCGAGATTACGCCGACGGATACTGCTGTCACTGCAAACCTGGTTACTATGGCAACGGCAAGGATTGCATCGCTGAAGGTGCGTTGAAACGAAGCTGCACCTTCCCGTCTCTCTCTTCAATCCAGCACTGAGTGAGTTAAACTGCAGTTCCTCCACTGGCCACTAGAGGCCGGCTGCAGAAGAGACTCAATCCCATAGACCCGCATGTTAAAATGCCCAACTTTACAGCAGAATAAACATGATCACAGTCTGGTGCTAAAAGTGGTTTTGGTCTATATTGTTAATTTTGCCCTTCATGACGACTGTGAGGGGGTGAACTTCTTTACAACTCATCCGTTTAAATTATATTAAGCCTTAAAGTTCTGCATAATTAAGGGCGTGGCCACTTGAGTGACAGGTGGATTGCCGCTGATGTCACTGCTAGCGTTTGTCTGCTGTGTGTTAGCGTCACGTCACCTCAGCTAATCCGCCTCGCTGCACATGTTCGTTTATCCGGGAGTGACGCGCGGCCAAGATGGCGACGGCCGGCTCCGCCCACTTTGGGCTTCACAAACGCTCTTCAGAAACACTACGAGTGACGTCACGCACACTACGCACATATATTTTTTTACAGTCTATGGTTGAAACGTTGGACATTAGTTTAAAAGGTTTTAGTTGATGATAATAACACTATTACACGGCTCTGTGGAATGCTTGATTCTGATTGGTCAATAGTGCCATCCAGCGGTATATTATTCCCAGATAACAGCCACTGAACACAGAAACACAGGCTCATCCGGTCACTGAAGACATCAGCGCTATACGCTCACTAGGAACGTTTTTTCTTCGTGGAAGTTTTGCGTTTGGTGAGCTAATAAAATATTAGAACTCAGTCGAATCAATATTTTGTGTACAGTTATTTAATTATGTCGTCCAGTATCGTGGACTCGCTCTCTCTTGTTTCACACAAACGCAGATGCCGCCATTTTACAACTATTGTTTTGTACACTGTTGGATTATAGGATAACAACAGGCACACACTGTGTGTGTGTGTGTGTGTGTGTGTCTGTGATCTCAGAATAAACCCCTTCATGCTGATGGAAGTCCTGATCGCCCTTTCGGGTTTATTCTGAGATAACACACACACAAACACACACACCTGATGGGGTTTATTCTGAGATAACAACCGGCTGGATGTACATTATCCCTTACTTATAAACTTCCATCCTGTACATAAGCACCCATGAATCCCTGAATGATGGCGCTGTCGTCCGAATCCACAGGGAAACCCCAGCGGATGAACGGGAAGCTGAACGGCAGGCTGTTCGTGGGGGATTCTCCGTCTCCGGTGGAGTTCTCCAACAGCGACCTGCACTCGTATGTGGTGGCGAACGACGGGCGAGCGTACATCGCGGTGAGCAGCGTGCCGGCTAGCGTGGGCCCGTCGCTGCAGTCGCTGGCGGCTCTGGGAGAGGCCATCGGGTGGGCCTTCGCGCTCCAGCAGCCGGGACACCACAACGGCTTCAGCCTCATCGGTAACAGCAGCGGGAGAACACCACCAGGGTTATACAGCCGGACCCGTCGGTAACTCCAGCGGGAGAACACCACCAGGGTTATACAGCCGGACCCGTCGGTAACTCCAGCGGGAGAACACCACCAGGGTTATACAGCCGGACCCAAACACTGTCGTGAACAGTTAATGCTATTGACTATATTATTATTGTTATGAACAATGTTGTTACATTATTATTAGGGGTTCAAGCACGAAGTGCTGAAACCCTATTTTTATTGTAAGGATTTTTATTATTATTATTATTCCGCCGTAAAACGCATCGTGCAGCCAAAACCGCAAGTGCTGGAGCTTTGAAACTTTGCCAGATGGTAGTACAAAAATCGAGGAGAGGTTGAGAGAGTATGACCCCAATTGGCCCATAGGTGGCGCTATAGCAAGCAATTGCGCAAACTGCTCATAACTCCTAGTCGGTAATTATTATTATTATTGATATTAAGTTAATAATATTAACTGTAACAAAAAATTTGACACAAAATTAATTAATTGAATAATGATAAATATAACTATAATGATAACTATAAATATAACTAATGATAACTATGAAGATAACTATAACGATAAATATAAATATAATGATAACAATAACGATTACTATAATGATAAATATAACTATAACGATAAATATAATGATAACAATAAGTATAACGATAATGATACATATAACAATAACTAAAATGATAAATATAAATATAAAATAAATATAGCCAGCAGCCATATCACCCTGTAGCCCAAGACCGGTCGCCCACTGAAGCTAAGCAGGGCTGAGCCTGGTTAGTACCTGGATGGGAGACCTCCTGAGAAAACCAGGTTGCTGCTGGAAGAGGTGTTAGTGAGGCCAGCAGGGGGCGCTCACCCTGTGGTCTGTGTGGGTCCTAACGCCCCAGTGTAGTGATGGGGACACTATACTGTCAAAGAGCACCGTCCTTCGGATGAGACGTTAAACCGAGGTCCTGACTCTCTGTGGTCATTAAAAATCCCAGGATGTCTTTCGAAAGAGTAGGGGTGTAACCCCGGTGTCCTGGCCAAATTTGCCCAGTGGTCTCTGTCCATCATGGCCTCCTAATAATCCCCATATATATATAGATACACACTGATTGGCTTCATCACTGTCTCCTCTCCACCAGTAAGCTGGTGTGTGGTGGGCGTTCTGGCGCACTATGGCTGCAGTCGCATCATCCAAGTGGATGCTGCACATTGGTGGTGGTTGAGGAGATTCCCCCTTCCATGTGAAGCGCTTTGAGTGCCTAGAAAAGCGCTATATAAATGTAATGAATTATTATTATTATTATTATAAATATAATGATAACTATAATGATAACTTTAACAATAAGAATAATGATACCTACAACAATAACTATAACGATAAATATAACTATAGCAATAACTACAAAAACTATAACGATAAAGATAACTATAACCAGTGTTGCTTTCTACATGAACTGGTTCAAAGTTCAGTTCACAAATTTTAAAATTAACTAGTTTAGTTCATAGTTCATACTTAAAATTTTTGTTTGAGCGGCGCCCTCTACTGTACAGGACAAGTAAGCCCAGCCCAGGTGAGAAAAAGTAATGCAAAAGTAACATAACGCATTACTTTCCATTAAAAGTAACTACAGTAAGTAACGCAATTAGTTACTTTTTTAAGAAGTAACGCAATATTGTAATGCATTACTTTTAAAACTAACTTTCCCCAATGTATTTATTCTACGTATGTTGTCTACATTATATTGCATCTGCAGCAGCATTGTGAACTTTTGTAAAGATACGTTTAGCCATTAACTTTTAAATGCATCATTACATTCAAACTCTGCATGAAAGACCCGCGACTGGCAGATGAACGTGCGACTGCATTTCTCTCCGAAATTATATTAGATTGAATAAAGGATTTTAACAGTGACAGGATGATTGACAGTACGGTAACAGGATGATTGACAGTACGGTAACAGGATGATTGACAGTACGGTGACAGGATGATTGACAGTACGGTGACAGGATGATTGACAGTACAGTGACAGGATGATTGACAATACGGTGACAGGATGATTGACAGTACGGTGACAGGATGATTGACAGTACGGTGACAGGATGATTGACAGTACGGTGACAGGATGATTGACAGTACAGTGACAGGATGATTGACAGTACGGTGACAGGATGATTGACAGTACGGTGACAGGATGATTGACAGTACGGTGACAGGATGATTGACAGTACGGTGACAGGATGATTGACAGTACAGTGACAGGATGATTGACAGTACGGTGACAGGATGATTGACAGTACGGTGACAGGATGATTGACAATACGGTGACAGGATGATTGACAGTACGGTGACAGGATGATTGACAGTACGGTGACAGGATGATTGACAGTACGGTGACAGGATGATTGACAGTACGGTGACAGGATGATTGACAGTACAGTGACAGGATGATTGACAATACGGTGACAGGATGATTGACAGTACGGTGACAGGATGATTGACAGTACGGTGACAGGATGATTGACAGTACAGTGACAGGATGATTGACAATACGGTGACAGGATGATTGACAGTACGGTGACAGGATGATTGACAGTACGGTGACAGGATGATTGACAGTACGGTGACAGGATGATTGACAGTACAGTGACAGGATGATTGACAGTACGGTGAAAGGATGATTGACAGTACGGTGACAGGATGATTGACAATACAGTGACAGGATGATTGACAGTACGGTGACAGGATGATTGACAATACAGTGACAGGATGATTGACAGTACAGTGACAGGATGATTGACAATACAGTGACAGGATGATTGACAGTACGGTGACAGGATGATTGACAGTACGGTGACAGGATGATTGACAGTACAGTGACAGGATGATTGACAGTACAGTGACAGGATGATTGACAGTACGGTGAAAGGATGATTGACAGTACGGTGACAGGATGATTGACAATACAGTGACAGGATGATTGACAGTACGGTGACAGGATGATTGACAGTACGGTGACAGGATGATTGACAGTACAGTGACAGGATGATTGACAGTACGGTGACAGGATGATTGACAGTACGGTGACAGGATGATTGACAGTACGGTGACAGGATGATTGACAGTACAGTGACAGGATGATTGACAGTACGGTGACAGGATGATTGACAGTACAGTGACAGGATGATTGACAGTACGGTGACAGGATGATTGACAGTACAGTGACAGGATGATTGACAGTACGGTGACAGGATGATTGACAGTACGGTGACAGGATGATTGGATGATTGGACTTCTCTCGTGTCCACAGGAGGAGTCTTCACTCGCCAGGCCGAGGTCACGTTCCTGCCCGGCAACGAGAAGCTGAGCATCACGCAGGAGTTCGGGGGCATCGATGAGCACGATCACCTGCTGGTCAACACACACCTGGACGGCAGGATCCCCGAGGTGCCGCCCGGAGCCACGGTCCAGATCCCAGCGTACAGCGAGATCTACCAGCACTCCAGCGACCGTGAGGGACCACACCCCGACACTCAGAACACACATCACTCAGACCCCAGACATCAGTTTAATATTGCTTCACTAGTGTGTGCAGGACACTATAGTTCAATACCTGTATTTCTGTGTGATGTTCTCAGTGATCACGTCGTCGTCGCGGCGGGAGTACAGCGTTAGCATGGCTGACGGCAGCGTGCGCGCACACAGCTACCTGTGGACCCAGAGCCTGCGCTTCCAGAGCTGTCCACAGGGGGCGCTCTCGCTCTCGGACCCCGAGCGCCAGCAGCTCAGCGTCGACCAGCTCTTCGTCATGTACGACTCCAGCAACCAGCTGATCCGCTTCGCCATGAGCAACAAGATCGGCTCCGTCCACAGTGAGCAAACCCAAAATAATAATAATTAATACATTTTATTTGTAATGCACTTTATATTTCAGCAGTGCTACAAGAGTGTTACTCTCTTAAAGTAGATCATCGACAGCCTAGTGCTTAAACTACACTAACTCTTCTGTTATGCAGGGCTGCTTTTATTTGATCATAAATACAGTAAAACAGTGTAATATTACTCCAGTGTAAATCAGCTGTTTTCTATGTGAATATACAGTAAAGTGTAATTTATTCCTGTGATCAAAGCTGAGTTTCAGCATCATTACTCCAGTCTTCAGTGTCACATGATCCTTCAGAAATCACTCTAATATGAGGATCTGATGCTCATTTCTCATTATCAGTGTTGAAAACAGTTAATATTTTTTTAATTTAATGCATCTTTGATGAATATAAGCATTAATATCTTTGAAAAACATGAGCCCAACGTTTGAGCGCCAGTATGTCGTGTTCACTCCCTGTGTGTGAGTCGATCGCAGCTGCTAGTGAAGCTCGTGTGTGTGTGATCTAACTCAGTCTCCCGCTGATGCTCATCCCTGTGTGTGTTTGTGTGTTCTGGGTTAAAGTGCTGCTTCATGTAAGCGGATACGAGTTAAAGCTCAAGAGCACGAACATCTGCCAGGACATCCGTGACGAGCCGTGTTTCGGTGTTGGTGGTTTAGTTCTGGGTAAACTCGGACAGGCCCAGATGTGCTTCTTCAATTATATTTATGAAGCGCTTTTCACAACACACATCGTTTCAAAGCAGAAACAGAAAATCCTGATGTTAATGTTTAGAGTCTCTTAAAGTCCCCCTGTGGTGAAAATGGGTGCATATAATTGACTGGAAGAAGTATTTTTTGGTCGGTTTTCATTAATAAGTGAGTTTTATGATTCAGGAGCTTCTGATGTGGTGTAATATCTCCAGCGTTATGGTTTGTAAGCGCACGCATGTGTTCTCAGGTGTAATTCCCGAGCAGAACCCGTGTTTCACCGGCAGACACGGCTGCGACACCAACGCCGTGTGCCGACCGGCTCGAGGTAAAGACTTCTCCTGCCAGTGCGCCTCGGGATTCACCGGAGACGGGCGCGTGTGTTACGGTAAACCACTCAATCCTTCACAGATAAAGTGATGTCACCTTTATTTAGACAGCGCTTTTTACGATACAGTGTGTCAGAGCAGCTTTACAGAGATAACAGGAGAATGATGCAGCAGAGTGTGTGTCCAGAAGAAATTAGCGTCACAGTCCAGCTTAATTTTTGTTGTAAAAAAGTTATTAATTTAGTTCATTTCCATATATAGCCGCTCTGGAGATATATATATTTACAGTATATATATATATCATTGATATAAATAGCCGCTCAGTGTGTGTATCTCGTTGTTATATTGTTAAAAGCGCTGTATAAATGGAGACTTGAGTTGTATGTTTGTGTTATTAATAGGAAGCCTTCTGAGCTCAAACATCTGCGTTGAGTTACGGAAGAAGCCTCGCTTCTCTCAGCACTGGTACATCAGCTGTAGAAATGATATTACAGTTCACTTTGACTTGAAAGAAGCTGCGGTTCACAGATGGGACGAGGATCCAGTGCAAACACACAGCGGAAGAGACTGTATATACAGCGTTTAATTCATGCGATGTGGCCTCAGGATTTACTGTAAAGAAAACACTAGATCTAAACGACTGCTTTTCATTTACAAACCGCCACATATATCAGAGATTACACACACACACACTGTGATTTAGTGCTTCATCTCAATCATCCGAACTCTTTAATGTCAACATTCACTCAACATTTACTTTATTTATGAGTTGTGAATTTCACAACAGCTGTCTAGAACATGTACAGGTATCATGTATCAAATATTTTGCTTATATTTTAAATAAGCATGCTCATTTGTGGAATATATAATATAATATATCTGGAATTTATTTAATTAAATGTAATTGTATTATATATATATATATATGTTGATATATGTATACATATTGATACTGGCTCAGCCGGTGACACCCGGGAATAGACTGGTTGGTGGCCTAATGATGACGACCTTGGCAAACGGCTTTTTAGAGGCTGAGCTGCTCGGCCGCTGTGTCAGGTCCACACGCTGTGGCATTACTGGGGCAGAAAGAGCTCCAGAGGGCTGTGGCTTAAGAGGAGCCATCTGTGGGCCAGTGCTTCTGGGTCTGATCAACCCTGGCTGGGTCACCTGGGTCATGGGTCACCTGGGTCATGGGTCACCTGGGGGAGGGTGTATGATGTTGGAAGACCCGAAACACCCAATGACCTCAGGAGTATCCCTGAAGATGTGTCCCAGCTCATCCTATATATATATATATTCAATTTTATTTTATATATATATATACAGGTCCTTCTCAAAAAATTAGCATATTGTGATAAAGATCATTATTTTCCATAATGTAATGATAAAAATTAAACTTTCATATATTTTAGATTCATTGCACACCAACTGAAATATTTCAGGTCTTTTATTGTTTTAATACTGATGATTTTGGCATACAGCTCATGAAAACCCAAAATTCCTGTCTCAAAAAATTAGCATATCATGAAAAGGGTCTCTAAACAAGCTATTAACCTAATCATCTGAATCAACTAATTAACTCTAAACACCTGCAAAAGATTCCTGAGGCTTTTAAAAACTCCCAGCCTGTTTCATTACTCAAAACCGCAATCATGGGTAAGACTGCCGACCTGACTGCTGTCCAGAAGGCCATCATTGACACCCTCAAGCAAGAGGGTAAGACAGAAAGAAATTTCTGAACAAATAGGCTGTTCCCAGAGTGCTGTATCAAGGCACCTCAGTGGGAAGTCTGTGGGAAGGAAAAAGTGTGGCAAAAAACGCTGCACAACGAGAAGAGGTGACCGGACCCTGAGGAAGATTGTGGAGAAGGACCGATTCCAGAGCTTGGGGGACCTGTGGAAGCAGTGGACTGAGTCTGGAGTAGAAACATCCAGAGCCACCGTGCACAGGCGTGTGCAGGACATGGGCTACAGGTGCCGCATTCCCCAGGTCAAGCCACTTTTGAACCAGAAACAGCGGCAGAAGCGCCTGACCTGGGCTACAGAGAAGCAGCACTGGACTGTTGCTCAGTTTTGCATGTCATTTGGAAATCAAGGTGCCAGAGTCTGGAGGAAGACTGGGGAGAAGGAAATGCCAAAATGCCTGAAGTCCAGTGTCAAGTACCCACAGTCAGTGATGGTCTGGGGTGCCATGTCAGCTGCTGGTGTTGGTGCACTGTGTTTTATCAAGGGCAGGGTCAATGCAGCTAGCTATCAGGAGATTTTGGAGCACTTCATGCTTCCATCTGCTGAAAAGCTTTATGGAGATGAAGATTTCATTTTTCAGCACGACCTGGCACCTGCTCACAGTGCCAAAACCACTGGTAAATGGTTTACTGACCATGGTATTACTGTGCTCAATTGGCCTGCCAGCTCTCCTGACCTGAACCCCATAGAGAATCTGTGGGATATTGTGAAGAGAAAGTTGAGAGACGCAAGACCCAACACTCTGGATGAGCTTAAGGCCGCTATCGAAGCATCCTGGGCCTCCATAACACCTCAGCAGTGCCACAGGCTGATTGCCTCCATGCCACACCGCATTGAAGCAGTCATTAAAGTGTGTGTTGTGTTGTTGTGTTGTTGCTCAGATGTGGACGAGTGTTCAGAAAGTGCTCAGATCTGCGGCTCCTTCAGCGTCTGCACCAACCAGCCGGGAACCTTCCGCTGCGAGTGTGTGAACGGCTTCCAGTTCTCCAGCGACGGGCGTACATGTGTCGGTGAGAAACACTCGAGTGTGTGTGTGTGTGTGTGTGTGTGTGAACGGCTTCCAGTTCTCCAGCGACGGGCGTACATGTGTCGGTGAGAAACACTCGAGTGTGTGTGTGTGTGTGTGTGTGTGTGTGATTCTCTGCTGTGTGTGTGTGTGTGTGTGTGTGTGTGTGTGTGTGTGTGTGTGTGTGTGTGTGTGTGATTCTCTGCTGTGTGTGCAGTAGTGGAGCGTCCGGTGTGTGTGTGTGTGTGTGTGTGTGTGTGTGTGTGTGTGATTCTCTGCTGTGTGTGTGTGTGTGTGTGTGTGTGATTCTCTGCTGTGTGTGTGTGTGTGTGTGTGTGTGTGTGTGTGTGTGTGTGTGTGTGTGTGATTCTCTGCTGTGTGTGTGTGTGTGTGTGTGATTCTCTGCTGTGTGTGCAGTAGTGGAGCGTCCGGTGTGTGTGTGTGTGTGTGTGTGTGTGTGTGTGTGTGATTCTCTGCTGTGTGTGTGTGTGTGTGTGATTCTCTGCTGTGTGTGCAGTAGTGGAGCGTCCGGTGTGTGTGTGTGTGTGTGTGTGTGTGTGTGTGTGATTCTCTGCTGTGTGTGTGTGTGTGTGTGTGTGTGTGTGTGATTCTCTGCTGTGTGTGTGTGTGTGTGTGTGTGTGTGTGTGTGTGATTCTCTGCTGTGTGTGTGTGTGTGTGTGTGTGTGTGATTCTCTGCTGTGTGTGTGTGTGTGTGTGTGTGTGTGTGTGTGTGTGTGTGTGTGTGTGTGATTCTCTGCTGTGTGTGTGTGTGTGATTCTCTGCTGTGTGTGTGTGTGTGTGTGTGATTCTCTGCTGTGTGTGTGTGTGTGTGTGTGTGATTCTCTGCTGTGTGTGTGTGTGTGTGTGATTCTCTGCTGTGTGTGCAGTAGTGGAGCATCCGGTGTGTGTGTGTGTGTGTGTGTGTGTGTGTGTGTGTGTGTGTGTGTGATTCTCTGCTGTGTGTGTGTGTGTGTGTGTGTGTGTGTGATTCTCTGCTGTGTGTGTGTGTGTGTGTGTGATTCTCTGCTGTGTGTGTGTGTGTGTGTGTGTGTGTGTGTGTGTGTGATTCTCTGCTGTGTGTGTGTGTGTGATTCTCTGCTGTCTGTGTGTGTGTGTGTGTGTGATTCTCTGCTGTGTGTGTGTGTGTGTGATTCTCTGCTGTGTGTGTGTGTGTGATTCTCTGCTGTGTGTGTGTGTGTGTGTGTGTGATTCTCTGCTGTGTGTGTGTGTGTGTGTGATTCTCTGCTGTGTGTGCAGTAGTGGAGCGTCCGGTGTGTGTGTGTGTGTGTGTGTGTGTGTGTGTGTGTGTGTGTGTGTGTGTGTGTGTGATTCTCTGCTGTGTGTGTGTGTGTGTGTGTGTGTGTGTGTGTGATTCTCTGCTGTGTGTGTGTGTGTGTGTGTGTGTGTGTGATTCTCTGCTGTGTGTGTGTGTGTGTGTGTGATTCTCTGCTGTGTGTGTGTGTGTGTGTGTGTGTGTGATTCTCTGCTGTGTGTGTGTGTGTGTGTGTGATTCTCTGCTGTGTGTGTGTGTGTGTGTGTGATTCTCTGCTGTGTGTGTGTGTGTGTGTGTGTGTGATTCTCTGCTGTGTGTGTGTGTGTGTGTGATTCTCTGCTGTGTGTGCAGTAGTGGAGCATCCGGTGTGTGTGTGTGTGTGTGTGTGTGTGTGTGTGTGTGTGTGTGTGATTCTCTGCTGTGTGTGTGTGTGTGTGTGTGTGTGTGTGTGATTCTCTGCTGTGTGTGTGTGTGTGTGTGTGATTCTCTGCTGTGTGTGTGTGTGTGTGTGTGTGTGTGTGATTCTCTGCTGTGTGTGTGTGTGTGTGTGTGTGTGTGTGTGTGATTCTCTGCTGTGTGTGTGTGTGTGTGTGTGTGTGATTCTCTGCTGTGTGTGCAGTAGTGGAGCGTCCGGTGGATCACTGTCAGAGAGGAACGCACGACTGCGATGTTCCCGAACGCTCCCGATGCAGTTTCACCGGAGACTCGTCTTACGTCTGCTCCTGTCTGCCGGGCTTCACTGGAGACGGACGCGTGTGTCACGGTAACACACACACACACACACACACACACACAAGCTCTTGAAGCTCCGCCCCCTCTGACCTCTGACCTTTATAAGTGAGGCTTCATTCAAAGCTTAAACATTCAGAATTCTTCCTGTGAAACCGTTGAAATCGGACATTGTGTTTCCATGGAAATAATACTGAACTTCTTACACTTTCGCTTCTTTTCCAGTTGTTCATTATTTAACAAGATTTTTACAAATATTTTGTACACAAAATTTCTACCTGATAAAATACATTAAAGTTTGGCACAACTAGAAAAATGTGTCTTCATTCTATTCAACTATTTTTATTAATATTATTATTATTAATTAATTTCCATATAATTTTCCATGGCTTTCCCAGGTCTATAAATCATACTTTTAAAATATCCAGGTTTTCCAGTAATGTGTGAATCCTGGTTCAGTAACACGAGACTCTCAGCGGAGACAGGAAGTGATGTCACCTGACAGGAAGTGCATTCATCACTCCATGTGTGTCTGAGACAGGCCAGATGTGCATTCCTTCATATAGAGTCCAGACACACACACACATCTGTACATCGACTCTCTCTCTCTGCAGATGTGGACGAGTGCCAGCCGGGCCGTTGCCATGGCGATGCCATCTGCTCCAACACCCCCGGCTCGTTCACCTGCCAGTGTCTGCCGGGTTTCCATGGCGACGGCTTCAGGTGCACACCTGGCTCTGGTAGGAGGATTCCAGTTTCAGATATTTATCATTAACCATAACAAAAATGTTCATTACTTGAAATAACAAAAATAATTATATAAAAAATTTTTTTTTTTAAATTCAAATTAAAAATTATAAATAAAATAATAAATTAATAATAAAAGTTAATTAAAACTAAACAAACATAACATATCTAAAGGTTTCATGTTTCTCTCTCATCGTTTTATATACTGTACAGATTATCATACTGAGACATCGCTCTTATGATTATTAATAGATCATATCAGATTCATCTCACTAAATCATGTGCAGGATATACATTTATGAAACATTTATGATTATTATCAGTGTTGAAAACAGTTGCAACCATTTTAATGTTCCTAAAATAGGCTTTATTTTCTTCATGCGACACACGTACTTCTGTGTCTGTACATTAAGAGATGACATATGGTGGCCAGAGACTGAACTGGGATCAGGTTTAGCTCAGTTCCCCCGTTCTGCTCATCTTCTCATAATCTGAGGGCAGATGTGTGTGTGTGTGTGTGTGTGTGTGTGTGTGTGTGTGTGTGTGTGTGTGTGTGTGTGTGTGTGTGTGTGTGTGTGTGTGTGTGTGTGTGTGTGTGTGACGCCGTGATAATTACAGCGTCTGTCCCTCGAGTGTCCCCCTGTCATCACATGACCTCCTCCTCCACATCTGCGCACCGATTGGCTGTTCAGTCACTGTACTGGAGGCACAACATTAAAAAATTAAAAAAACATAAATATATGATATGAGCTCTTTAACTGGAGGATTGTGTGTGTGTGTGTGTTTGGATGATTTGCATGAAGTGCTTGACATTATTTTTAAGGTCTTTTTAGGATTTTTAAGTCTGTAATTCTGTAACAAAAATCCTTTTGTCAAGACACAATGATTAAAATAATTTGGCATGAATAAAGGCAGTACAACAAATTCAGCTTTGGAAATATAATGTTGAGAATAAACTCATTAAATTTCGAGAAAAAAGTCTTTGTTTGTGTTTCGAGAAAAAACTCGTTCAATTTCAGAAAAAAAGTCTAAATATAATGTTGAGAATAAGTGCATTCGATCAGTGCTCATCGCATACGACTCCTCGCAGGAGTGCCGATGGACTAGCCTGGATGCCAGCCCGACCCCCCCCACAACATTATTGGGTCGGGAAGTTCGGTCTGGACTCGATCCATTGAGGAGTAATTATGATCGGTTCAGAAATCGTCGGGCCAATCAAATTGCCCGGGCGGGCTTTATACGATGATGGACAGATGATCTGCAGTTGCGTAATCATCACGTTATCAAAGAGCGCTTGGGTTGAACTGGTTTCCCTCACAGATGGAGCGCTTGGGTTGAACTGGTTTCCCTCAGAGATGGAGCGCTTGGGCTGAACTGGTTTCCCTCACAGATGGAGCGCTTGGGTTGAACTGGTTTCCCTCACAGATGGAGCGCTTGGGTTGAACTGGTTTCCCTCACAGATGGAGCGCTTGGGTTGAACTGGTTTCCCTCACAGATGGAGCGCTTGGATTGAACTGGTTTCCCTCACAGATGGAGCGCTTGGGTTGAACTGGTTTCCCTCACAGATGGAGCGCTTGGGTTGAACTGGTTTCCCTCACAGATGGAGCGCTTGGGTTGAACTGGTTTCCCTCACAGATGGAGCGCTTGGATTGAACTGGTTTCCCTCACAGATGGAGCGCTTGGGTTGAACTGGTTTCCCTCACAGATGGAGCGCTTGGGTTGAACTGGTTTCCCTCACAGATGAAGCGCTTGGGTTGAACTGGTTTCCCTCACAGATGAAGCGCTTGGGTTGAACTGGTTTCCCTCACAGATGAAGCGCTTGGGTTGAACTGGTTTCCCTCACAGATGAAGCGCTTGGGTTGAACTGGTTTCCCTCACAGATGAAGCGCTTGGGTTGAACTGGTTTCCCTCACAGATGAAGCGCTTGGGTTGAACTGGTTTCCCTCACAGATGGAGCGCTTGGGTTGAACTGGTTTCCCTCACAGATGAAGCGCTTGGGTTGAACTGGTTTCCCTCACAGATGGAGCGCTTGGGTTGAACTGGTTTCCCTCAGAGATGGAGCGCTTGGGTTGAACTGGTTTCCCTCACAGATGGAGCGCTTGGGTTGAACTGGTTTCCCTCACAGATGAAGCGCTTGGGTTGAACTGGTTTCCCTCACAGATGGAGCGCTTGGGTTGAACTGGTTTCCCTCAGAGATGGAGCGCTTGGGTTGAACTGGTTTCCCTCACAGATGAAGCGCTTGGGTTGAACTGGTTTCCCTCACAGATGGAGCGCTTGGGTTGAACTGGTTTCCCTCACAGATGAAGCGCTTGGGTTGAACTGGTTTCCCTCACAGATGAAGCGCTTGGGTTGAACTGGTTTCCCTCACAGATGGAGCGCTTGGGTTGAACTGGTTTCCCTCACAGATGGAGCGCTTGGGTTGAACTGGTTTCCCTCAGAGATGGAGCGCTTGGGCTGAACTGGTTTCCCTCAGAGATGGAGCGCTTGGGTTGAACTGGTTTCCCTCACAGATGAAGCGCTTGGGTTGAACTGGTTTCCCTCACAGATGGAGCGCTTGGGTTGAACTGGTTTCCCTCACAGATGGAGCGCTTGGGTTGAACTGGTTTCCCTCACAGATGGAGCGCTTGGGTTGAACTGGTTTCCCTCACAGATGGAGCGCTTGGGTTGAACTGGTTTCCCTCAGAGATGGAGCGCTTGGGCTGAACTGGTTTCCCTCACAGATGGAGCGCTTGGGTTGAACTGGTTTCCCTCACAGATGGAGCGCTTGGGTTGAACTGGTTTCCCTCACAGATGGAGCGCTTGGGTTGAACTGGTTTCCCTCACAGATGGAGCGCTTGGATTGAACTGGTTTCCCTCACAGATGGAGCGCTTGGGTTGAACTGGTTTCCCTCACAGATGGAGCGCTTGGGTTGAACTGGTTTCCCTCACAGATGGAGCGCTTGGGTTGAACTGGTTTCCCTCACAGATGGAGCGCTTGGATTGAACTGGTTTCCCTCACAGATGGAGCGCTTGGGTTGAACTGGTTTCCCTCACAGATGGAGCGCTTGGGTTGAACTGGTTTCCCTCACAGATGAAGCGCTTGGGTTGAACTGGTTTCCCTCACAGATGAAGCGCTTGGGTTGAACTGGTTTCCCTCACAGATGAAGCGCTTGGGTTGAACTGGTTTCCCTCACAGATGAAGCGCTTGGGTTGAACTGGTTTCCCTCACAGATGAAGCGCTTGGGTTGAACTGGTTTCCCTCACAGATGGAGCGCTTGGGTTGAACTGGTTTCCCTCACAGATGAAGCGCTTGGGTTGAACTGGTTTCCCTCACAGATGGAGCGCTTGGGTTGAACTGGTTTCCCTCAGAGATGGAGCGCTTGGGTTGAACTGGTTTCCCTCACAGATGAAGCGCTTGGGTTGAACTGGTTTCCCTCACAGATGGAGCGCTTGGGTTGAACTGGTTTCCCTCACAGATGAAGCGCTTGGGTTGAACTGGTTTCCCTCACAGATGAAGCGCTTGGGTTGAACTGGTTTCCCTCACAGATGGAGCGCTTGGGTTGAACTGGTTTCCCTCACAGATGGAGCGCTTGGGTTGAACTGGTTTCCCTCAGAGATGGAGCGCTTGGGCTGAACTGGTTTCCCTCAGAGATGGAGCGCTTGGGTTGAACTGGTTTCCCTCACAGATGAAGCGCTTGGGTTGAACTGGTTTCCCTCACAGATGGAGCGCTTGGGTTGAACTGGTTTCCCTCACAGATGGAGCGCTTGGGTTGAACTGGTTTCCCTCACAGATGGAGCGCTTGGGTTGAACTGGTTTCCCTCACAGATGGAGCGCTTGGGTTGAACTGGTTTCCCTCAGAGATGGAGCGCTTGGGTTGAACTGGTTTCCCTCAGAGATGGAGCGCTTGGGTTGAACTGGTTTCCCTCACAGATGAAGCGCTTGGGTTGAACTGGTTTCCCTCACAGATGGAGCGCTTGGGTTGAACTGGTTTCCCTCACAGATGGAGCGCTTGGGTTGAACTGGTTTCCCTCAGAGATGAAGCGCTTGGGTTGAACTGGTTTCCCTCACAGATGGAGCGCTTGGGTTGAACTGGTTTCCCTCACAGATGGAGCGCTTGGGTTGAACTGGTTTCCCTCAGAGATGGAGCGCTTGGGTTGAACTGGTTTCCCTCACAGATGAAGCGCTTGGGTTGAACTGGTTTCCCTCACAGATGGAGCGCTTGGGTTGAACTGGTTTCCCTCACAGATGGAGCGCTTGGGTTGAACTGGTTTCCCTCACAGATGGAGCGCTTGGGTTGAACTGGTTTCCCTCACAGATGGAGCGCTTGGGTTGAACTGGTTTCCCTCAGAGATGGAGCGCTTGGGTTGAACTGGTTTCCCTCACAGATGAAGCGCTTGGGTTGAACTGGTTTCCCTCACAGATGGAGCGCTTGGGTTGAACTGATTTCCCTCACAGATGGAGCGCTTGGGTTGAACTGGTTTTCCTCACAGATGGAGCGCTTGGGTTGAACTGGTTTCCCTCACAGATGAAGCGCTTGGGTTGAACTGGTTTCCCTCACAGATGGAGCGCTTGGGTTGAACTGGTTTCCCTCACAGATGAAGCGCTTGGGTTGAACTGGTTTCCCTCAGAGATGGAGCGCTTGGGTTGAACTGGTTTCCCTCACAGATGGAGCGCTTGGGTTGAACTGGTTTCCCTCACAGATGAAGCGCTTGGGTTGAACTGGTTTCCCTCACAGATGGAGCGCTTGGGTTGAACTGGTTTCCCTCACAGATGGAGCGCTTGGGTTGAACTGGTTTCCCTCACAGATGGAGCGCTTGGGTTGAACTGGTTTCCCTCACAGATGAAGCGCTTGGGTTGAACTGGTTTCCCTCACAGATGGAGCGCTTGGGTTGAACTGGTTTCCCTCACAGATGGAGCGCTTGGGTTGAACTGGTTTCCCTCACAGATGGAGCGCTTGGGTTGAACTGGTTTCCCTCACAGATGGAGCGCTTGGGTTGAACTGGTTTCCCTCAGAGATGGAGCGCTTGGGTTGAACTGGTTTCCCTCACAGATGAAGCGCTTGGGTTGAACTGGTTTCCCTCACAGATGGAGCGCTTGGGTTGAACTGGTTTCCCTCACAGATGGAGCGCTTGGGTTGAACTGGTTTTCCTCACAGATGGAGCGCTTGGGTTGAACTGGTTTCCCTCACAGATGGAGCGCTTGGGTTGAACTGGTTTCCCTCACAGATGAAGCGCTTGGGTTGAACTGGTTTCCCTCACAGATGGAGCGCTTGGGTTGAACTGGTTTCCCTCACAGATGAAGCGCTTGGGTTGAACTGGTTTCCCTCAGAGATGGAGCGCTTGGGTTGAACTGGTTTCCCTCACAGATGGAGCGCTTGGGTTGAACTGGTTTCCCTCACAGATGAAGCGCTTGGGTTGAACTGGTTTCCCTCACAGATGGAGCGCTTGGGTTGAACTGGTTTCCCTCACAGATGGAGCGCTTGGGTTGAACTGGTTTCCCTCACAGATGGAGCGCTTGGGTTGAACTGGTTTCCCTCACAGATGACTGCAGCTGGAGAACTGAGATGTAGAGATCCCGCTATCGCGTCTGTTGTAAAAGAAATCGACAGCGCATTCATTTTAAAAGATGAACAGAGAACTGCAATCAAGGCATTTGTCGATCGGAAAGATGTGTTTGCCGTCCTTCCTATGGGATTCGGCAAAAGTTTAATTTATCTGCTGGCTCCGATGGTAACTAAGAAGATGGGACGCAATGAAAGCCCTGTGGGCGGTGTGGTTTCTCCTTTGGTCGCACTCATAGAGGGCAAAGTAAAAGAAGCAACACTCGTTATTTTACTTCTTCCAGCGTGCGTGCATTTGAGTTCTGTAGTTGACAACTGTGCTATGCAAAGTAGTTGACTTACTGCGTTGCTCTCATTGGTTGTAGGTCTATCCAATTGAGTGCAGAGGTTTTTTTTTCCTGGTTCGGTTAAGACACGCCTCATAATCACAGCCCTATGGAGCAGCATCAGACTCACATTCTGACTAGAATATGAGTATGACGAAGTCAGGCTACCGATGGACGGCTGAAGCCGTAACGATCTCACTCATTCTCAACATTTAATGAGTTTAGTCTCAACATTTTATTTAGACTTTTTTTCTCGAAATTTAACTTTTTTTTCACAAAACACAAAGACTTTATTCTTGAAATTTTATTTAAAAGTAATTTATATAAAAAGTCATTTTATTTAGACTTTTTTTCTTTATTTAACGACTTTTTTCTCGAAACAACAACTGTATTCTCGAAATGTAAAGTTTATTCTCAACATTGTATTTAGACTTTTTTTCATGAAATTTAACTTTTTTCACAAAACACAGACTTTATTTTCGAAATTTAGTGAGTTTATTCTCAACATTTTATTTAGACTTTTTTCTCTCTAAATTTAACGACTTTTTTCTCAAAACAACAACTTTATTCTCAAAATGTAAAGTTTATTCTCAATATTTTATTTAGACTTTTTTCTCGAAATTTAACGAGTGTTTCCTCCAGACAACGACTTTATTCTCGAAATTGAATGAGTTTATTTTCAACATTTTATTTAGACTTTTTTTCTCGAAACACGATTTTATTCTCGAAATTTAATGAGTTTATTCTCAACATTTTATTTAGACTTTTTTTTTTATTTAATGACTTTTTTCTCGAAACAACAACTTTATTCTCGAAATGTAAAGTCTATTCTCAACATTGTATTTCGACTTTTTTTTCTCGAAATTTAACGACTTTTTTCTCGAAACACGATTTTATTCTCGATATTTAATGTTTATTCTCAACATTGTATTTCGACTTTTTTCTCGAAATTTAACAAGTTTTTTCTCGAAACACAGACTTTATTTTTCGAAATGTAATGAGTTTATTCTCAACATTGTATTTCGCGAGTTTAATCTCGCATTATAATGACTTTAATCTCATCTTTAATCTCTATTTTTGTATTATTGCTTGGCCCTAATCCTCTTCCGTATGCATCAGATACAATTTTTATTTAATTTTTGTATTAAAATAAATATTAAAATTATAAAATAATTAAAAAAAATAATAAATACAAATAATTAATGAACAAAATTAATGAATTCACTATAAGACCAGAAACATATATTAAGAGTCTGTTTGGATTTCAGTTTGCCTTTAAAGTAACAGTAAATGAAGCCGCTTCCTGTTGAGCCGCATGTGTGAGTGTTTACGCCGATCACACGGATCATCTGGACCAGATGTCCCAGATCCACTTCCTAAAGGCCCCGGGCCCCGAAACCCAGACAGGCAGAACCGGCCGCGTCTCGCACAGAGCAGGGAAATGCTGCAGTGTGTCACACGATCAGAGAGCAGTGTGTGTGTGTGTGTGTGTGTTGCAGACGGCGGGCTGACGGTGTGTGAGCGGCACCGAGCAGCAGTGCTGGAGTCGGGTCAGTCGGGTCAGTACGTGCCCTCCTGCGACGGGTCCGGGGCCTACGACCCGCTCCAGTGCCACGCCGGCCTCGGCCAGTGCTGGTGTGTGGACCCGTACGGGCAGGAGATCCGCGGATCCAGCACACAAGCGGTCCACACACCCCTGTGTAAGAGCCCAGAACACACACATCACGGCATAATCTGAACTTACTCACTGATATTGAATTCACTTTGGTTCAGTTTAACCCATACTGTAAAGACCATAGACTGTAAATAAAGATGTGCGTAGTGTGTGTGACATCACTCGTAGTGTTTCTGAAGCCCAAAGTGGGCGGAGCCGGCCGTCGCCATCTTGGCCGCGCGTCACTCCCGGATAAACTAACATGTGCAGCGAGGCGGATTAGCTGAGGTGACGTGACGCTAACACACAGCAGACAAACGCTAGCAGTGACATCAGCGGCAATCCACCTGTCACTCAAGTGGCCACGCCCTTAATTATGCACAACTTTAAGGCTTAATATAATTTAAACGGATGAGTTGTAAAGAAGTTCACCCCCTCACAGTCGTCATGAAGAGCAACATTAGCGATATAGACCAAAACCACTTTTAGCACCAGACTGTGATCATGTTTATTCTGCTGTAAAGTTGGGCATTTTAACATGCGGGTCTATGGGACTGAGTCTCTTCTGCAGCCGGCCTCTAGTGGCCAGTGGAGGAACTGCAGTTTAACTCACTCAGTGCTGGATTGAAGAGAGAGACGGGAAGGTGCAGCTTGTTAAAGACCCATGTATTTAAGCCCCTCCCTCTTCCCATAGGCATTGAACACAATGTGGCTCCGCCCCTCATTGGCCCCACCCCCAGGTCTGACATCATCCCTCTTACTCCCGGAGCAAACATCTTATTTGCCCAGAGCGGCCGGATCGAGCTCCTCCCATTGGACGGCGGTCACATGAGCAGAGCCGAGGCCCGAACGCTGCTGCACGTGCCCGTGAGTCACACACACACACACACACACATCACAGAAGTGATTGAAATCGCTCAACACAACAAACGTTTCAAGCGGTTTCCCCAAATTTAACTGAAAATTCAACTTTTAATTACTTTTGTTTGATTTGTTCACTGCAAACTGCTAAAAGTCTGTGTATTTTGCCAATAAACCTGATTTGCAGTGGGGGTGAATAATTTCAACTGTATAAATATATATATAATATCTGACAATGAAGTCAGAAAAATGATCTTGATTCTAAGGGAAAACGGGATTATTTTTCTGACTCCATTCACAGATATTTGTTTTTGTGTTCAGCACAAACAATTGTCCTTGTGGGCGGTAAACCGCGGCGTAAACCCGCGAGCCGGCGCATGCTTGAGTGATGCGACTGTGGTGTACTCTCTCTCTCTCCTGCAGGGACGATCCGTGTGTCGCTCCTCCCCGCGGGACTCAGCTGACAGCGGCCCATCAATCTGCCCTTAATCTCTTAATATAAACTAATGTGTCTTGATTTAAAAGCGTTCAGATATTAGGAAGCGAGTGAAGTGTGTTAGGGTCAGAGGTCAGAGGTCAGAGCGACACATTCCAGCCGCAGAAACTCATAAACACCAGATGAGTGTGTGTTCTGCTCAGACGGAGTGTGTGGGACCGCTGGAACGCACGCCTCTTTGTTTTCCTTTTTCTTTATTTTTCCATCACATTTATATACTTGTTTATCCTCCTCTCCATATTTTGCTCCATTTTAACCCATTTTTCACCATAAAGACAGCTTTAGTAACCATGGTGATAAATTATAAATGATGATTCTGTTGTGCGTGTGTGTGTGTGTGTGTGTGTGTGTGTGTGTGTGTGTGTGCGTGAGCAGGGTAGAGTGGTGATCGCGGTGGCGTTCGACTGTGTGGATCAGATGATCTACTGGTCTGACATCACTCAGCCGTCCATCAGTCGAGCCGAGATGAAGGGCGGCCAGACCAGCGTCATCATCAGCAGAGGTGCTTTACAGTCCTCATGTCACATGATCTGTCAGACCCCTGACATCTCAAGTTCATATTTCAATAATTTAACTACACGTTTCATTTGAATGTTCACTGTTAACATGCAGGTAAACAAATCAAATATTTCATCTTGTTTTAGTAAGCATTTTATCAGCTTTTATTTTTAAATAATTAATATATTTTATTTGACAATTTTATGATTTTATAAAAAAAAAATTAATTTTGATGCGATTTTATTTATATTTTCACTGTACATCGTTGTTTAACACATTTTTTGTGTTTTATTTAGATTTTTTATTAAATCATTTATTTTAATTATACTTTTTAATTGTGATCATTTTTAGCAAGTGTTTTATCTAGATTTTTAAAAAATATTTATTTTTATTATAATTTTTATTGTAATCATTTTTAGCAAGTTTTTTTTAAAGATTTATTTAAAAAAAAAATAGAACGTTTTATTTTTATTTAGAATTTTATAAAAAGAATGAATACATTTATAATGAATTTTTTAACTACATTATTATGATTTAATTAATTTTTTGTTTTATTTTAAATTTTTCAAAAAATATATTTTATTTATACATTTTTTATTAAAAAAATGATATACTTTAAAAAATGATTTAAATCATAAAAATGCACATTTAAAGTGTTTTATTTTGATTTTTTTAAAATATTTATTTTAATTATAGTTCAAATAAAATATAATAAAAAAAAAAAAAGTTTTAGTGTTTTATTTTTTAATTTTAAAAATACATTTAATTTAATATTTGTTTTTATTTCAAGATGATTAATTCATTTTGTTTATTTTTAGTCATGTGATCTCGTGGATGGGAAGCGCTGCGATAGACGAGCGGATACGAGTGCGCTGATGTGGATCTGATATGATGTCGCTCAGATGTTTATGATTACTGTGTGTGTGTGTGTGTGTGTGTGTGTGTGTGTGTGTGTGAGCAGATCTGGGCAGTCCTGAAGGAATCGCCATCGATCACGTGTCCAGGAACATGTTCTGGACCGACTCCGTCCTGGACCGCATCGAGGCGTCCCGGTTAGACGGCAGCCAGCGCCGCGTGCTCTTCGACAGTGACCTCATCAACCCTCGGCCAATCATCGCTGACCCCGCCCACGGGTGCGTGTGAGGGCACAGGTGTGTGTGTGTGTGTGTGTGTGGCCCACGCTGACTCTGCCCCGTCCCGCAGACACCTGTACTGGGCCGACTGGGACCGCGACGGGCCGAAGATCGAGCGCTCCAGTGCGGACGGCGCCGGCAGGACGGTTCTGGTGCAGGACGGGCTCTCGCTGCCCAACGGCCTGACCTTTGACCCCCAGACCCGGCAGCTCTGCTGGGCCGACGCAGGTCAGCGCTCCACAGTCACTCCCTTCGGGGGTTTACGACATTTATTCGAATTATTCTTTTTCAATTTGGACTTTTTTATGATTTTAGTCATTTTTACTAAGTGGATTAGTTTTATCGGTTTCGTTTTAAAATTATTCATTTAATTTTTTAATTAAAAGTTTTATTTTGATTGTATGTTTTTTTAAAAGATTTTTAAAAAATAAAATTTTTATGATTTAATTTTTTTAGGTGTTTTATTTTTACTTAATAAAAAAAAAATTATTTGACTTTTTTTATTTTATTCATTTTAATAAGTGGCTTAATTTTATCATTTTGTTTTTAAATGATTTATTAAAAAAAGTGATTTATTAAAAAAAGTGATTTATTGATTTATTTAAAATGATTTATTAATTTATTATTAATAAATATTATATAAATAAATTCTTATTATTTTTTACATTTTTATGATTTAATTTGTATTAGGTGTTTCATTTTTACTGTTTTTTATTGTAAAATTGTTTATTTATTTTAATTTGACATTTTTATGATTTAATTATTTTTAGTAAGTGGCTTATTTTGATTGATTTTTGAAATATATATTAATTTTTTTATTTATTTTTTGCCATTTTTATGATTTCATTATGAAGTGTCTTGAAGTGTCTTTTATGATTTTCATTATGAGTAAGTGTTAAATTTGATCTGCAGCTCAGCGTTAGATTGTGAATCCAGTGTACGGTTGTTGAGTTATTACAGCTGTGTGTGTGTGTCTGTGTGTGTGTGTGTGTGTGTGTGTGTCTGTCTCTGTGTGTGTGTCTGTGTGTGTCTGTCTCTGTGTGTGTGTCTGTGTGTGTGTGTGTGTTCCAGGCACTCGTCGAGTGGAGTGTGTGGACCCGGGCTCTGGTGTGCGGCAGAAGCTGGCGGAGGGGATCCAGTACCCGTTCTCCATGGTGTCGTTCGGCTCCAGGCTTTACTACACCGACTGGAGAAGGTCCGTTCACCAACAAACGACTCCTATGAACCGGTTCTTTTCATGAGTCGCTCAAAAAGACTCAAACGAATCACTGAGAGTTCACTGAATCCCGTTATAGTGTGTATGACCGGCTCTTCACGTCTCAACATGTTTATTTTATTTCAATGAAATGAATGTACTATATTTTAGTTCGATAATGTTTTTTATTTGATTATTTTTTTCTTTTTAGGGGATTTTATGGTACTAAATTATATTTTTGCTGGATTTATAATCCATTTATTCACTTCTTAGACCTGAACATTAAATCTCCAGCTGAAACTGTGTAAATCTGGAACGCTTTAGATCACAGACTGAAGTTTTATCTCTTCTCAGAGACGACACTCGGCAGATTATTGCAGAAGAGAAAACAGTTTTAAAAAGTGAACGTAAACAAAGTTACAGAATTTTACGTTTATTGTTATGAAAAATGTGCAAAAATAAATGTTTTATATGAAGCGAGGAGCTCCAGAGGGATAAACATGGACACTCAGCAGAGCTTTACTGTAGGAAATGTGAAGCTATATGAATCTGGTAATGACTCAGTGTGTTGATGTTCTGTCGCTAGGGAAGCGGTGGTTGCTATGGGTCATGATGGGATGGAGGTGCAGGAGTTTCTTCCTCAGAGGCGCTCGCGCATATACGGCATCACCGTCACTTACCCACAATGCCCTGCAGGTCTGAGCTCAGGCGCTCTGGTGATAAGAGCCTGATGACGTCAGCGAGTCGAGTCACATGACGGTGGTCTGATCACATGACTCGTGTGTCGCCGGCCGGAGCTGCCGGAGGCTTGCCGGATCCGGGCCGACTCCCCCGCCCACAGGGATATATTCATATCAGGAACTCATATCAGGAACTCATATCTCTCAAAATATGATATTATACGATAAGATCCCATCAGAGCAATACGGTATTTATTCATCTGTGTTCGTGTTATTTAATAAACACACATTGTTAGTCCATTAAATATTATTAACAGGTACAACTTTAGATTTTAATAATGCATAAATGTTAAATCAACATGAACTGAGATTAATAAATACTGTACGAGTGTTTGGTTCACTAACGGATCATTATCGTGAAACTTCAAAACAAAGAAGGTGAAATAGTAAATATGTATAATATTAACACTCAAATATCAGTTATAATAACAAAAAAATATTATTGGTTGTTGGTATTATTAGTATTATAATGCTGATATTTACATTATACGTGTTTAATTTAACGGGAAACTTTACATTTAAACACATGATCAAACGTGAGATACTAAAAGCACAGCTTGAAAACATAGTTATGCGAATAAATATGATTTTATTGTAGTTTTTTCTCTCGGGATGCTGGGATACATTTATACTGTGTGAGGAGAGGTGCATTCTGGGATGGATATTATATG